CCCGTCCTATTTCTCTAACGCGATGGCCTTCGCGGCCCTTGCGAAATGGGAAGCTGGGTGGCGGTTTTCGGGGCTTCATTGGGACATAGGGATGCAGGGTTGGCTTACTAGTTTGGCGTGTGTTAGTGTGGCCGTAAAGCCCGTGTTGGGCCGCTCATTTGGCGATCTAGGAAAGGACGACCGTTAGGGGTCGAGCGTTTTCTCGGTCTCATACTGCCTACACTCTTTTCGTTTTCTTCATGTATTATCATCCTTCTGGGGGGTGCAGGAGATAGATGGGTAGGTGTAGAAGTTCCAGGGATAGAACGACTATATAAGCCCTCAGATAGGATGCTCTTGAATGGATTTCCGGACTGTCTCGCTAGAAAAACAGGAGGAACTAGCAATCATAGTCCACGTACATAAACAGGACATACATGTATTAGTTGTCGCAAATACCAGCCTTTAGGCAGCCCGCATCTCTGGCCCCCCTCCCCCTTGGGCGTATGTCCCGGATGCCCTGGGCTTCTTTCCGTCCAAGTTGCAATACAATCAATTTCATACTCATGCATAATGACGCAACAAGGTCTACCAGTGAACAGTACTCCAGTGGTGGTCCAAGCACACCGGTCGTAGAAGGATAGATCACGGACCCGTCCTCCGAACCCCATAATTCCACGGAGCGGGGTCTCCGGGCGGAGGCGTGATACCGGGGCCCTAGGATATGTCGGTATGGGGTGGAACCGCCGCGCGGATTATCTGGGTGGGTACCTCCACTTTGGCAAGACTACACGGGTGGTGGGTATATATATTTTTTTTCTGAAGGTGGGTTTCGAAGAAGATATGTGTTGGAGTATATAAGAGGGTTTAAGTTACGAAGGATATCTACTTGGACTCCTCTTGGTTGATCTGTTGTTGAAATTGTTCTAGATTTTGAGCGAGAAGGATACTCGAAGATTGGCAATATGGTTCTTGCGCAGCCCGAAAACAAGCATGTTATGCAGGTGTTCAGCCTGAAAGGAAAAGTGGCTATCGTCACCGGTAAGTCGGGTGGTTCATTTCTCTACGCTGGGATACTGATGAGCTTGGTTTGAATTCTAGGCGGTACAAGGGGTATTGGGTTGGAGATTACCAATGGGCTAGCGGAGGCTGGTGCCGATGTAAGTAGGGGCATAGCTCATGGTCCGATGATTGATAACGAAAGGGGATTCATGGGTTATTGTTCAACAGGTTGCAATTATCTATAACTCTTCTAGCACAGCCGAGAGTACAGCGGCCTCTATTGCGCAGGCTCACAATGTAAGAGTTGCTGCGTACCAGGCCAATGTGGGCGATCAGAAGGAGATCGAAGCAGCTGTCCAGCAAATTGCTCGGGACTTTGGTAAGCTAGACATCATGGTCGCCAACTCCGGCATCGCTACCGCAGTCGCCGCGGAGGACTACACCACAGAGCAGTGGCAGCAAATCATGAATGTGAATCTGGACGGCGCATTTTACACAGCCCAGGCTGCTGCTCGAGTGTTCAAGGAACAGGGGTCCGGTAATATCATCTTTACCGCGTCGGTTAGCGCCGCACTGGTCAATGTGCCCCAGAAGCAAGCCGCGGTAAGTTGGGCATACGCGACCCGGCACCTCATAGGTGTGAGATTCCCCAGGAGCCCTTTCTGACAGGTCTCGCCACAGTATAATGCCTCGAAGGCAGGGGTTGTTCAGCTGGCTAAGTGCCTCTCGGTTGAGTGGGTAGACTTCTGCCGCGTGAACTGCATCTCCCCGGGGTTTGTCGCGACTGAAATCTTGGATCATCACCCACCAGAGCTGCGGGAGAAGTGGCTCAGCATGATTCCAGCTCGCAGAATGGCTGGCACGTACGAGTTGAAGGGGGTAAGATCTTCCATCCCATGGTCATATGTTGTAGCTCCTCTGGCTAACCAGGAATTCCTATAGGCATACGTATTCTGTGCGTCAGACGCGTCGAGCTATATGACGGGAGCGAACTTAGTGATCGATGGTGGATATACCCTTCCCTAATTATTTCCAGTTAATGAATGTCAAAAGAAACAATGGAATGCAGTACCAACAGCATCATAGACAGGTCAATAGACCAGCTTCAGGTAATAGTCCATTGTAAAGACTGCGTCACAGTGATTGCAGACCGGTCACCTGGTGCATGAAGTCGCTGATCACAGATTGCTGCCTAAGAAGGAGAGTCAGATTGCCAGTCCGGATTGGATATTACGTCCGAAGAGATGACTTACAAAGCAGAATCCACACCATCAAGCTGTGCCATCTCTAACGTTGGCCACATAAGAGGGTATAGGTTAGCTATCTGTGTCTCTGGTGATTCTTGGATCGGGCCCTCCCAGCCATTGCTGCGGGGATAGAGATAACAGCCACAGAGAGATTGGATGACTCGAAGAAATCGCTCAGCGTTCGCATTGAGTGGCGCCATTGACTCGAGGGTGTTGACCGCTTGGAATATCTGTTCGCGCCAACCATGGGCGGCCGGATCTGACGGATTGTTGCGCAGACAGATTACAGGGATCAGGATTGCTTGGAACAAGAAGTATACACCATACCAGCATGCCATAGTTGTTTTCTGATGTTGTGCCCAGAATGATGAGATAAGCTCGACCGATTCGCGGGCGGCATCAAAGCATCGTTGAATGGCAAGTTCTACATGGGTATCATCTTTCTCACGGAGGCTGTCCGGGCCATTGTCTGAGTTGAGCATCCATTTTCCTACCAGAAATGGCCGGTACATCAAGATACGAAGATTGCGATATCTCCATCGCAGGATGGAATGACAGAGAGCAAATTTTGGCGGCTGGATGGCCTCCTCGTTAAAGAAGGGAGGAAGAGATGCCAACCAATCGCCAATGAGACGGTCATCTAGTTCGATTAGTTCAGCCGCAGGTGGGAATGAGGTCGAGGTGATCTTGGTATAGATCAGGTTTGTTTTCAAATGGAACATCGCCTGCGCCCGTAGATGGGTGTACACAGTAGTTTCAGCCACTGGGGTTGGGGCAGCTTGTGTGCTGGCAGTAATACCCTGCCGAGCTATTAGCATTTGACTCGTTAGACCCTAGGCAAATGGACACTTGCGCTTTCATGGATGTTTAATGGCAGGCGAGTATCGATTCCCTGCTCTGGAAATTCCAAGGGTCGCGAGAAGGTGATGATTGCGCCCACATCAAAGATGTAGAGACAGTACCAAACTCTCCGTCTCATCTCCATTGCTAGCGGAGACGCTTTCGAAGTAGGAAACTCTTTATGCAACCCGATTCCCATTGCAGTCCGCCGGGCAAGGCCAAGATAATTATATCCGGAGTTTGGTTTATTCCTCTTTTGCAAGTAGTTTGAGCTCAAGGTCAATGCTTGGACTAAGATTAGGCTGCCAGTTTCCAGCACATCGATTGTTAAGCGAGTCTTTGCCGCCTTAAACAAAGCCAGATCCACATCAGTCGGCGTTACTGCAGCTGTAAAGGCTCCCAAGGCTGCTACCACATACAAAAGTACCTGCCAGGTGTTGCTGGTTGGCCGTGGAATGACCTCCATGAACTGCGCACGAAATGTCGCTTCATGGATGATAGGATATGAGCAATGATAAAGGGAAAAGTAAGCATCGACGAATGGTTCCAGTTGAGACAGAGAGCTCAGGGCGAAAGGGACGCTTGGTGACTGATGGGAAGATGCTGTTTCAAATGGGCGACCAGGTTCGGGCATGTCAAGCCTTTCCGCACCAGATTGGGAGTTCGTCATGCGCAGCAATGCAGCACCGGATGCGGTGCCTTCAGTGGTGGGAGTCAGTCATGTCTTTCAGGGCATGCTATTCGTAAAGTTTGGGATCGAAAGGCATACCTAAATAGCCACCATCATTAGAACGGCTAGGGAGAATAGCCATGCCATCCACAAATCCATCACCACCCTGGTCCTCAGTGCGTTCATCCCATTCGAAATTGACATTGCCGGCGGAAGGGGGCGTCTCCATAGACATTACAGCGTCCTGGCTTCGGCGATTGGCCCGGTGGGAGATTCCTGTCTGGCTCCTCTCCGAGTAATCGTAAAGCTGGCCACTACTAGGTGAAGAAGCGCTGAAGACACCCAGCGAGGGTTGGCTGGGGACCTCCGGGGCAGGAACCGTCTCGGATCCGATATTGCTGTGGGGTACATAGGCTCTCTCCGGCTGCTCTGATGATCCCTCACGGTTTCCAATGTCGGAAATCAGAACCCGGTCACCGGTGCCATCCTGCTCGGCATAAGTAAATCGGTCGTCATTGGCAAGGACACCACTGGCCCGAGGGAGAAGCTGAGAGAGCAGGGCCTTGGTCCGCGTCAGTTCCTCCTCGACCTCCGTTAGGTATTGCCTGGTTAAGGGCGTCTTCGACAAGGTTTCGTAAATGCATCGACGATTGAATTTATCACATAGGGAGCAACTTGGGACGAGACGATCGCACTAGCACGGGTTTAGATTATTGCTATGCATAAGTCTGGTCCGCCGCCGCGGTAATTGCTAAGAAAGGGTGGCGGATTTAACCATCGTGGACCTACTTTCGACTTACGCCGTCGGCATTCCCGACATGCATGTTTGGCGGGGCCGTGATTAGATATGTTCAGTATTGCCCTTACGCTCGTGCCTTGTTCCATTCTTGTGCAAGAGCTTCAATATCAGCCACCTAACCCGGGCTGTCAACCAGCGTTGGAGGATTATAGCGCCTGCCCGGAATTTGTGTCCGTCGGCTAGGCACAAGAAGTGAATTCGGGCCTTCCCCCAAGTGCGTTGACTGGTATCACGTGGCACGACGACGACAAGAAATTCCCCTCGATTGACGAGTCAGTGGAAATGACCCCACAGACTCTGCTGGGGAACCATGGGAGTTCGGGAGTCTGTGGGCGGGGCTCCGTATCCGACCATCGGAAAACCCCCGGATCTATGGTCAAGTGCCGAGTTTTGCCCTGGAACAATTTCTCGAACTCTGTAGAACAACTCAATGCATTACCATACATTATGTATAATCGGTACTCTAGTCAAAGTTACGTTGACGTTTTACATCTTGTGGCTCTGCTCGGTATAGTTGTCGCTTCGCTGATCGTGGCAGCTGTGAAGTTGGCCGTCGACGTTTCAAGCTGCAGCGGTGAAAGTCAATGATCAAAGCCCGCCCAAGCTCTTCATTCCAAAGGATATTTTCAGGTCGAAGATCTCCATGTCTGATGCCCAAGGCTTTGATTTCCTTCTTCGATCTGTAAATCTCCTGCTCAAGCCACGGCGCCAACTCCATAGTTGCTGTGCTGTTACCCCCCCAGCCCATGATGAGCATGTGGCGAATCTCTCCCGCGCCATGAAGAAAGTAAATTTTAGCCAAATCGATCATACCTAGGAAAACAGGGACAGCAGAGCCTTGAGCCTTCCGCAGGATCTGGTATACCTGCGCTTCATTGGACACTTCCTTCCACAGTCCCGACGTAGTTCCTTTGCCAATGACAGTATAGCCATATGTAGCACAGGTAAGTTTAAATGGCGCACCATATGCCCCGCAACCTCCAATGGGTGTGCATTGGTCAATATTTTTGTCCAATTGTGCTTTTAGCATATGCACTAAATTCTCTGAGCTAATGGGATGCTTGCGGTCATCGCTGCCTTGACGATGTAGGATCACGTTTGGACAACGGTCGTCAAGGATACCCCGAGTCTGCAAGCCGAGTAAACACCGCTGAGTGCAAAATTGAGTATCGCGGCGTCGGGATGGGCTGTCTTGGGTAGTACCACCCCCGCGTTGACGAGGCGCTCGTTGGGCCGATGGGGAAGATGCCACTTGGCTGAAGCCGCGTTTGCGACTCGTTGCTTGGTTCGAGTGGGAGCCTGATGAATCTGGTGACGCGGTACGGTATTGGTCATTCGAGGGTGCACAGCCGGGCTGAGACCTTGTAGGCACTCGGCGACCTTCTGCTGTTCGCTCTTCTCCAGCCGACGGTGGTTGATACCCTGGACTGGATTGTTGACTCATATGCTCTGTGCTAGTACTCTTACTACTGTCGAAACTTTGGGGATGATCATCGCTGAAGCCGGTTGTCCAAATTCGAAGCCGCGACCGTGCAGCATTTCTCCATTCCTGATCACGCACAGTGGAACGAAACGCCATCAAGCAAAGACACAACACCCGGGCAACGGAGGTCTTCGGCTCTTGGATATCCTGGTCTATACCACCTTCTAGTTCTGTATTAGGATCACAGAGGAAGTAGTATAATGTACTAGGGTCGTGGTATGGAACGCGGAGAAGGACACGAGCAAGTCCAGTAGTCACATAAGAATACTCGAGTCCTTCCTGGATCATTACGTGATATTCCTGGACGATAGCTGAGCAAGCAAGGCGCTTTGCCTTGAAATCCGTAGAATCTGGAGGGTATTTATTAGTTCTAACCATATCATTCCACAAGTCCATTCCGTCGAGCCCCGTGCGTAGGCTTTCCTGAGAAAGCTTGTGAGGTGGTTTATATTCGACTGCAGTGAGCAGGGTATTAGTATTGCCGTCGACTCGATGAATACAGAACTGATCAGGCCTTGGACGGGGTATGGATGATAACTGGTCCGCCTCTGCTGCATTCTCGTCGTCTCTTTCGTCAGGGCTCAACGAGTTTGTGTGACTCTCGAACCAAATCCCATCTCCAAGTCCAAACTCGTCACGGGCACCATCAATCTTGCATAGTTCCACAATTATATAGCGAACATAATCTTCTACGGCGACTTTCTCATAAACCTCAAGACCCTTTTCACTGCTAATTGGCTCAAATAATCGTTTAGCATCCTCTTCCAGTGCAATAAGGGGCGTAAACAATCGTGCTCGCGCTTCCTCTGTGAATTGTAGGTAGTTACACACTGAATTGAAGATTTCTTGTTGTTTAGCAGCACATTCGGTCCACGGTTCCAGGCGCGTGGGGCAATACTTTCCGATGGGGAGCGGTATTGTCCCTGTGGTCGAACGAGACGGAGTTTCAGCTCTCAACGGGCGGGAGAGTAAGTTGTGGCAGTGGCGTATCAACTCTTTAAAAGTCGTTCGTTGGGCGCGCGCTTCTGCTTGCCGCTGCCTTCCCTCTGCTTGCTGCAGCCTCTCCTCTGCTTGCTTCCTCCTCTCCTCTGCCTGCCGAAAGAGAGCTTCATAATCTCGCGAGCTCTCGCCGACCATCGTTGTGCGAGGATAGGAAAGTAATGAGTGAAGAATGGATTGCTCTTAAACTAGCAGGGTGGAGGGAGTGGAGCGAAATAGGCAGCTCCGACTTGACCGAGCGTTGACAGCTGGCTTACAACAGCGAATCACCGTTCACGATTAGTTAACTAACCTGATGTAGTTAGCAAGTCACCTCTGGAATCTATATACAATCACACATTATTATATATCAAAATCACGTCCAGTATCATTTTAATATTATAAACTGACATACCAAAAAGTAGACCACGTATGGATGTTTCAAAATATGCTATGTTCTACAGATTACAGAGGTGACCGGTCCGCTAAGTTACCGACGATATCCTAGTTAACTACGGGTAGTTGGCAACGTATTGCTACCACCCCTGCCATAATTACGGATTTTAGTATTCTTTTGTCATTCAATGTGTTATACTATAGATATATCAAATTAATATACTATTGCACGAGACGGTGCTGTCAATGAATCAAATAACGGAAATAGCCTCCCGCACTAGTATAATAGATTAAAAATGACTATTTTGAATGATGCTCGCCCATTGGTATCTCTGTGTACGTATTCGAGGGTGCTTGCAGACAGAAATGCTGACCATTTATGATCTTGGGAAGCATGTACACAATACTAATCCATTCATGTTACATGGGGTCAATCAGCATGACTATTACAAAAAGTCTCTATGTATTTCCTAGCCCCATGTAAAAAAAGAAAAACACCACTAGTCCTTGTTCTGATCTTCCGGTGTGCCGTTAATGACCAGGTCGGCAGGAAGACGCTTTTCAGAAATAGTTTGCGCATTGAGGAAGTCGTTCTGATCCACCCTTCTAAAGCCATCCTCAAGAGTTGGTTCAATCCCCGCCTGAACATGTCGCTTTGCAACCCGCTCCCTAGCTACCTGTAGATCCGCGTCCACAAAGATACGATAGTCGACCATCGAAGCCACATCCCGCCACTGCGGCTCGTCTAACAATAAGTAGTTACCCTCCAGGATGAGAATTGACGTGTCTGGGGTGATGCTGATGCCGTCGGTGACGGGGTCCTTCTTCTCGTGATCAAATGAGGGGGCGTATAAGATCTTCGCAGAGGGAGACGGAGGTGGCGTAGTGTGATTGTAACAAGGAGATGTGTCCTTCTCTGCCCACTGGCGTAATTTCTGAACAAAGGCGATGAACCCCGCCACATCAAACGTCCATGGGGCTCCTCGCCGGACATAGGCTTCCTCCCAGTTGGGAAGTTGGTCCAGCTCTGCGCGCGATAGGTGGAAGCCATCCATCGGAACACATACTGTCTGGCGGCGGACGTTTGCCGGCATTGCATTCAGGTGCTCGGTGAGAGCTTTTGCCAACGTGGTCTTTCCAGAGCCTGGAGCCCCTGCGATTGCGACAAGAAATCTAGGTTTGTCGTGTACGACGGCGCGGCTGTATATTGATTCGACGACTTGTGCATATACGATGTCCATGTTGATATAAATATTGTGGCAAGTCAAGCAACATGCGAATTATACTTTTTGGGTTTATATCAGTATAGCTGTTTCACAGAATCAAGAACGCGACATACTATTGGTTCGCCTTGGTGAGTGAGGGTAAAGGAAATGGCTTATGATCGATATACTAAGGCTTCAAGTAAACGGAGGGAGTCAGAGACGGTGAAGGATTCTTGCTCCGCTTTTAGGTGAAGTCGATCCTTGAGAAAGGCAACATAAACTCAGCTTCGCGGATCACAGTCGTCCGGCACTGCCAGGATCCCGATATTCTCTCCCTGTGGAGAAGCGTTCAATTGGGCCACAATGTCGTATGTGGAGTTACTGGCCCTCTATACCGACTTATCTTGTTTGTTGCCGAAGGTGGACAGCGGAAGGGTGCTCAAGGTCACCTCTCCTGTTGAGCCTAGTATAGGCAACAGAACCCTTCAACAGTGACTAGTGCTATGTATAGATCTTTGAATACTTGTTTTACTACAAGATAGAATATGTTCGTGTTGCAATTCCAAATTAATTAATAATAAAATCTCTCTCATTTCCATTTTTACAGTTCGTTAAATTCGGTTAAATCTTGTTCTGCCGGCCCTGATAGCCCTCGATAATCACTTTGATGACGCTCTCCTTCCCTTGTCGGACCAGTTCAAAGGCCTGCTCTGCCTCCTCGAACGTATACCGGTTGGTAATGAGACGCTTGACATCCACCTTTCCGCTAGCAATTAAGTCCACGGCCGTCGAATAGCAACCAGTGCTGTACCGAATAGAGCCGCGGATAGTCAGGTCGCGAATACACGCGGTTGTGATGGGAAACATGACATTCTATAAAGCCCCTTACGTTAGTTTACTTTCCCCAATTTCCGTGGTCGCAGTCACTGGCACAGTGTCACTCACCTCACGTCCCATTCCGGCTTGAACATAAGTACCACCCTTCTTTGTCAGGTGTATTCCAGTCTGAATGCAAGGCTGTGCACCAGTAGCCTCAAGCACAACATCAGGGCCCTCGCCCAGGTCAAACTGCTCCTTAATAATCTTTGCCAGCTTCTCACTCCACTCCTCGGGAGCCACGTCCGCTGGAGGCGGAGGCGGTACAAAGACATCGTCTGCGCCAAAGGTCTTTGCAAACTCTGCACGAGGCTTGCTAATATCGACGCCGATGACCTTCTTGGCGCCGTATGCCTTACTCACAGCCTGGCAGAGAAGGCCAATAGGCCCGCAGCCGAAGACCACAATCTTCTGGTTTGCCTTTACATTCCCGACCTTGGTAATCTGGCAAGCGACAGCTACTGGCTCGACCATGGCTCCTTCCTCCATGTTCATATGGTCAGGGATCGGGTAGCAGAAGTCCGACTGGGTGATATAGTATTTTGACAACGTTCCATCGTGCGGAGGCGTTGCTGCGAAGCGGTCATTTGGGCAGAGGTTGTACGAGCACTGTGACAGTACTCGCAGCTAGAATATTCATCAGAGATCACTCGCTGCCACCAAAAGAATTCATGGATACGTACTGTCTGCAGGGAATACCAGGCTCGATGGCGACCCGGTCGCCGACCTTCAGGTTTTTCACGGCTGACCCAACTTCCATGACAGTGCCTGAGCTTTCATGGCCGAGAACGATGGGACTTGTAAGAATGAAATCTGGATGTCGTTGATTAGACGAGATTCATTCCTGTGTGGATGGTTGGTTTATCATCACTTACCGCCGATTCTGCCTCTTTGCCAGTAGTGCACGTCAGACCCGCAGATACCTGTTTGCGCGATCTGAACGCGGACATCCCAGGGATCCTGCAGTGTGGGTACCGGTCTATCCTCGAAGGCGACATCCTTAACAGCCTTGAGGACGAAGGAGGGGTTTGAGTCTTGCTATTTCTCCGAGGAGCCCAATTAGCAATCCATCATCCATAACCAGAGCTTAATACACAATGTATAACTTACCGCCATGATATACGTTTATATGAGATCTCAAAGTCAAATGGCGCGGTTATTTGAGAAAAGGTCCAAACAAAGAGTCTCCTCAACAAGATATTATCTCATTGAAATGAACATCTCCCAGCCGATATATACTCCGCAAAAACATAGATCCATGTCTACCCCGTGAGATGAGCTCCGAACCCCACCCATCCACATTGATGTCATGCCGGACGGGCACGACAGCCCGCCATACCACCGCGGGGGAATGCCGGTCCGGACACAAAGCCCGGACCCAGTCCGAACGGAATGGGGCCTCCGTCTCGGCTAGACCTCCTCAGACGGTGGGCTGACGGACACACAACACGACCCGAATTCAGAGTACATGGTTTCCTTCGGCATGCACAGAACGTTTTGTGGGGGTACTGGTGTCAATATGAATTGAGGTCGATGGTGGTACTCCACTCGTTGGCATGGTCTAGGTCTCAGTTGGCAGTTATGTCGGACATTGTTGGGGGATATGGTTTATTGGGCAGTGTTTCTGTTGCCTGGATTGTTTCGAACCTGGTTATTGATTTAACTCTGTGTTCTTGAGGTGTGATTTGATATTTGTATTGGCTTAGGAGGTATGCGTATTTGTGAGGTAGACATGATCTCGTTGAACATCCGAAATATATATTTACAGAAGTCAAAGCAGCATAACCCACTATGGCGATTGGAGAACGAGCGCATAGAGAAATTAATACTAGCAACAGCAAGAAAAAATAAATAAAAATAAAAATAAATAAATAAA